GTTATAAGGACAATAGGTTCCTCAGCAAGATATGTTTAGCAATGCATGACAAGGTGTCTGTCATCATGCTGATCTACATATGATAGAATAAATTTAAGGTAACCCAATACTCTTGTTGACATTTGTTTCCTGTGCATAAACTAGGCAACACCTGTCTAGATTCACCTTTCTTTGCTGGGAATCCCTAAAGCCAGTTCTCTATCTGGACTTCTGCCATTGCTGCTGGAAACATGTAAAACCCTTCACAAGCGATGACCCCATGATGATGGCCTAGGACCATTGCCTTGTATGGGAGAGATTAATTTTGTGGCAGCATGAATGATATGCTCGTTGTAAATAGCAGCCAGTCACATAGAGCCTCTCAGCAAAATTTGACACAATGGACCATGCATAAGATATTGTAGCAGTAACTAAGGGACATTGCTGAAGTGAAAGGCGTAACTGCCGTAACTGCCTTACAAGGCATTCCTAGAAGATGGAATTAATCAGTAATAGTGGACATGTGCCTTAGAATCCTGGAAATTCAGCATCCCTCGAGCTATCCTGTAATCCATGTAACTCAACGTAGGAGGTTTACCAAGATAATGTCTAAATATGGACTAAAATAGCATCAGCACAATTGTATCTCTCGTACTCTGCATTTTTCAAATTCAGCCTCAGCCATGGAGAAATGCTCATATGATGCTGCAAGCTGAGTATGTCAGAGTTTCTTCATGCACAGCCCCGGGAAGACAAAAGCCTTTCTACCAGGTAGAAGTTGCTGGATGAGGAGGCACACCCTATAAAGCTTACTCCCTATGGAGGGGACTTGTTTATAGGTAGTGAGTAAAGTTAATACATTGCGGGTATTATTTTATGGAAAGCTGAGAGCCAGACATGGTAGCAGTGTGTTTCACTTGAGCAATCCCCTGTTGACCACCAAACAGCAACATATATCATTGCAACAGCAAGGACTGAGTATTGTAATTTCCTCTCAACAGGTCACAGCAGGGTATTTCCATCACTTGCAGCTTGTTCAAAATGCAACAGTAAATTAGCTTGCAGCATGTGCAGCCATGGTGTAAGCGTGCGCAGACTCACCTGGCGGCACCTCCTCCTGGTTGTCTCTGGGAATTAGCTCTCCAGCCGTTGGAGCGCCCGCTGCAGGGCGGTGTCCCACTGCCACTTGGCCCGTGTCCCTCCCGGACCCGGTGCCCTGTTGTCTGGGGTGCTGCCCCCTGGCAGTAACCCCTCACAGCTCTGGGTCTCCCCCACCCACTATCCCCACTTCACCTTAGTGTTAGGCTACTGCCCAGTCTCTATCTAGCCCCCATTCACTGGGGCAGACTGCAGTGTAAGCCACTCATCACATGCAAAGGGGTTTGGACCTGCTGCCTCTGCCTACCCATGGGCTGCCTCCTGCAACCCAAGTGCCCCTTTGGCTAGGGTTACCATATGTCCGGATGTGTCCGGATTTTTGGTCCTCAAATCCCCATCCGGGGGGAATTGCCAAAAAGCCAAACATGTCCAGGAAAATGTTTTGCCGGCCTCCCTGTCCCCTGCTTACCTTAGAGTGGCTCCGGTGGCGGCGGCTGCTGCTGCTCCCCCCAGACACCTCAGCTCTGTGCAGCTGAAGAGCCGAGCTGCCCGAGCGCTACCGGCTTCACAGTTTGCCGGGCAGCCTCCAGACCCTGTGCCCCCGGCCGGGCGCTTCTCCTCCCGGGCTCCAGCTGCGCTGGGGAAGTGCCCGGTCGGGGGCGCAGGGTCTGGAGGCTGCCCGGCAAACCATGAAGCCAGTAGCGCTCGGGCAGCTGTTTTGTGTGGCTGGGAGGGAGGAGGAGGAGGAATGCGGGGCGCTCAGGGGAGGGGGTGGAGTTGGGGCAAGGACTTTGGGGAAGGGGTTGGAATGGGGGAGGAGTTGGGGCAGGGCCGGGGCCCCGTGGAGTGTCCTCTTTTTTAAATGTTTTAATATGGTAACCCTACCTTTGGCCTTACCCTAGACCTGGGGCTCTCCTAGCCTGGGGCTCCCTTGGCCTTTCCCCAGCCCTGCTCCACTCTAGGCACTTCATTAAGTGCCCTGCAGCCAGGCCCTTCTCTCCCTGAACACACAGAGAGACCATTGATCCCCTGGCTCTCAGCCTTTTTATACCGGCCAGCTGTGGCCTAATTGGGGTGTGGCCCGGCTGCAGCTGTTTCCCCAGTCAGCCCAGGCTTGCTGCTTTCCTAGCAACAGCCCTCTCCCAGGGCTGATTTCAAGCCCTTCAGGGCAGCAGCGGGTATCCACCTCACTACACATGGTCATATTGCCCCAAACCTGCATTCTTTAGATTGACCTTAAGTTGAGCAAACTGGGCCCTACTTACATTCAAGACTTCCTCCTTGAGCCTTGTTCTGTTAGATATTTATACTGAACTCTTAGGGCTCCCCAAGCTGCATCCCAAATCAGCAGACAATTGTACCTTTGTCAAAGTGCTCCCCACTCAACCTCTCCCTCCTCACTT